AAGGCTCTGGGGGGACCTTATGGTGGCCTTCCAGTACCTGACAGGTACCTATAAGAAAGCTGGGGAAGAACTGTTCACAAGGGCCTGTAGCAATAGGATGAGGGGTGATGGTTCTAAACTAGAAAAGGGTAGTTTTAGGTTGGGTATTAGGAAAAAGTTCTTCAGTATGAGGGCGGTGGATCATTGGACCAGATTGCCCAGAGAGGTAGTAGAGGCCCTGTCCCTGGAGATATTCAAGGTCAGGCTTGATAGGGCCCTGAGCAACCTGATAGTAAAGATGTCCCTGCTTAGTGCAGGGGGGTTGGACTAGATGGCATTTCAAGGTCCCTTCCAACCCAATTCACTCTGTGATTCTATGTTTTTGTTTTAGTGTAAAACAAATGACCCATTTGACGTGGGTCACTGTTACTGCCAAGGATCCCCTTTTGGATCTCAGGCTTGCAATGTGACTCATACAAGCCCATCAAGATATTTCTTGATCAGTGACCTATTCCGATCATTAAGATCTTTATATAACATTCTCAGTGAGAAAATGAAAGCATATAATACTTTTTTTTTCTACTCTCTCTTTTTCTTGTATTCTGTATAAAGAAGTAGTGTTATTTTTTCATTGCCCATAGGATTTCTGAATCTGTAGTACACAATTTTATTTTGTTTAAATATGTATATAAAAAGACAGGTTTTTGTGTTGCATTTTTCCTACTTCTGAGTAATTTGCTGAAAAAATAGAAGTATAATAGCAATTGCTGTTTGTTTCTGACCTACTCCAATTAGCAGGGTTTATTTGCATAGTTATTCATACTGGTTTTCTAATGGTGGAAGTTCTTCTAATGTAAGATAATAGACACTCTGTCTGTGGCTTTTGATATTTATAATTGGTTCTCTCAAGCTTCCTTTTTAATGATAATACATATGATTAGTATTTTAAAATATTGATGCAGAATGTTCTCTTAAGTTCTCACACTCTGTGTTTAAGCCTGTTTGAATAGTATCCTACCCACTTATGTAGTCCTGAAGCAAAGTGTGTGTTAGTAGAGGATGGGAGCCTAAATTATTGATAAATTACCTGTCAGTAAGTTACCTGCTACTGCCAGGTATCTCAACATAAAGGAATTTTAAATATTGAACAGGGTATTTTTTGTGTCTGCTTTGGAGCTTTATATTGTGAGTATGTTGTGTTGAAACTGATCATACGTGAAGCTACTGTGTGAAGTCATTTGTTTCAAGATTTAGTGTTAACAAACAATCTGATCACCTCCCTATTTTGAGAGATAAATTATGGAACATATTAACATGTCACCATTTTTCTAATTATTGTTGATCTTGTTCATGCTGTATAGTTTCAGTGAATAAAATCTAATGAACATAACAGATGATGTTCATTAAAATCTAATGTGCTGGCAAAGCTGGAAAAGTAAACACTTCTGATGACCCCTAAGGTTGATCTGAAATGTTCAGTGAGGACTCTGTCTTGCCTTATAGGAGACTAGTACTATTTGTATTGAAGTATTGTTTTCTGTAGGAATCCCACAGTTTTATTTTTGTTGAAAGAAGTTTTCCATTCTTAGTGTTTCCAAATTCATGCATGTTTATTAAACTTTCTGTAGAATTTTTCTTTCATGTATTTGCATTTTAACTATGTATTAAAGGTACTTTTTTTTACCTTAGGAAATTTTAGAATATTCCTTTAAGTAAAGTGTCTGAAATCTTATAGTGCTTTTGAACTGTAAATGCTTAAAGAGATGTGTCTACAGATTGGATAAACTTTCTGTCAGGGAGACATAGCATAGGATTGGGGCTACTTTTGAAATAAGATTTGGGATTTTGGCAGGCTTAGTTGGGGAGAAACAGGAACTACTTTTTTTTTTTTTTTTTTTTTTTACACATAGTGCAGACTTGTCATGAGGGTGGAGTGTAGAATTATTAAAAAATTATTTTGTAAGCAAAAACCCATAGGACATGGATTATCCTATTTAGTGTCTGTGATGTTTTAAGAGTTAAAAGCCAGGAAGAATAATATATATTTTTAAAATTATTTAGGCAATTAAATTGGAATACACTCGTCTGCTAAAATTAGCCCAGGAAGATCCACCACCTGAATGTGACTACCGTTTGCGTCATGCAATTGTTTACTTCATCCAAAACCAGGCACCAAAGAAGATAATTGAGAGAACATTACTGGAACAGTTTGGAGATCACAATCTTAGCTTTGATGAAAGGTAATAAGATCTATGTGTCTCATTTCCCTTGTTTGTGAACGTTCTCTGATGGGTGGAGACACCTCTTCATATTCAGATAGTGGACGTAAAAGAGAGAAGGGTAGTGTGTGTGTTTGACTTTATCTTCTAGTTAATAGCTTCTGAGTAAATATATAAAAATTACCATCTTTATAAAAATCTTCATAAAAAGAGTAAACAAGAAGTTGGTTTCTGTTGTTATGAAATAAGGAGAAATACTCAGTGTTGCTCATAATTTTGCACATAGATTTCTGTACCTTCTTTCAAAACACTGTGTGAAGATGTGTAGTTTGCATTCTTCACTGCCCTGAAAGCCAGCAGTAGACAGCAAAACCTTGCAAGATATATGGGTAACTTACTAGAATGCAAGACAATGTCTCTTTTCCACTCGAAATTCCATATATTTACTTACTTAAAGAAATAAATAAGTTGAAAGGTAGAGAATATTAGTCTGATTTCTGCATAGTGAATAGTCCTCTAATGTTACTTTTGCACAGTAAATATTGGAGTGTTTCAAACCATCTGAACTTTAAATTAAAAAGAAATTCTGAGCAATGTGTCAATTTAGCAAAATAAAACAATAAGTAATTCTTAAATAGCATAGGTCTCCGTCACATGTAATTCTAAAGTATGCCCTCTCCTGCTGATTATACCATGCAGAATAAAAAGCACATTTTCCACAGTGCTTTCATACGGTTTTGCATAAGGCTGTAGCTTATACTGTTTGAGGCTGTTGTCTTTGTATAGATAATATCCTTTGCAAATTTCCAGTAATCTTCCATGATTTCTTGTTGCTTTTTATAAGGTGCCGTAACATAATGAAGGTTGCTCAAGCTAAACTTGAAATGATAAAGCCAGATGAAGTAAACATGGAGGAATATGAGGTTAGTATTTCTTATGCGTTAAATTATACTGTAACATGAAATAGTTATCAGTAAGCTGAATTTTATCTTCACAAACTTCTTCTTGTCTTACACTAAGAAGTTAAAACTGGTTATTGAAAGACCATTTATTTGTGGGAATGCTGCTCTGACCTAGTGATCTAAAGCTGTTTATTCCACATCTGTAATTCCAATGACTTGAGTCATAAATAAACGTCAAGTTTGAGTCTGTCCTTACTCCTTAACGTGTCTCAACGTCACTAACAGTATTTCATAATTTATTGCCATATGAGCCAACTGGCTTTCTCTAGGTCAGAAACAGATAGCAGTGAAGGGAGTGAGAGTGGTCTAAGCCCAGCCTTGCACATCTTGAGAACTGGGTCACAGGCTCAGTCACATTTGTGCTTTTCCTTCAACTGTCTCTGCAACCATTCCCATTTTCTTATGAGCACCAGATTCTTTTGTTTGACAAGACCATGCATAACCAGTTTATGCATTTAATTTTTCCTCCTGCACTATTTAGAAAAACTTGAAAAGAAGAGCAAATCGCAGACATTAAATAATGACTAATAATTAATCTTGTATTTAAAGCTAAGTCTGTAGCTGGTTTTACAACATCAATTTCAGCTCTGCATAATGCTGTTTGTTAAGGCTTCTGAACAGGGGATACTTATGTCCTAGGCAGATTCCAGTGCACTATTTAAACCTCATTGTTATGCTTGTAGGTCTAAACAGCTTGTTCAGGAAGACTATGGGAGTAATCTTCCCCTCAACAAACAAAACGAAAAATAATTACTTGTCATTTCTCATTAGCAATGCCTACTACATTACAGTGTGCTGCCCCTGGCCTGTGAGGGGAAAGGACTCTCAGTGGGATTTCTGTTGCAGTTTTTAGGCTGTGCAAGAATCAATATCTTACCATCTTCTGAATGGCCTTGCACAAGTAGAATAAACAATTCTGGACTTAGCTTTAAGAGTGAAGGAGTGAGTATTTTCTATTCCCCTGCAGATATGTGCCACTTTTTTAGCTCCTGAGGCAGATAGTTGGTGGTTTTTCCAAAGATTGTATCAGTATTTGTCCGATATAGTGAATTGGCATTTCATGGACCTTTTCTTCTGCTCTTTGTGTTGAATCTATAAGTGTCTGTGTGTTATGTTATACTATCCCTTATTTTATCTTTAATAAACACTTGAAAGTTGTCTACTAACCAACTGCAGTGAAAGCACCTTTTTCACTTAGAGCATTTACCTGTAAAGTGTACTAGTAGTCACTTTGTATAAGTGGCAGTGCAGTATGGCAAACGTTTTGCTCCAATGTAAGTATCTCCGCAGCCTGAATTGTATATGGGTTTTTTGTCACTTCCAGTGTAATGTCCAGGCTTTTTCTATGTCATTCTTATATTCAAAGTTAAGCTTAATATTTAGTGTATGAAAAACCTTTCTAATGCTTTCTAAGTTAATAATTGAGAGTAATGTAGGGAAGAAGAAAAGGCTATTAGCTTCTCAACTCATTTTGAGAAGGAGATCTCATATAATTCTGACTGTGATTCTCCAAAGATGCTTTGTGTTCCTTTCAAATGGTAATGCATTATTTAAAAATAATCTAATTTAGAAATATTTTAGGTATTTAAGAATTTTCTTTTTATTGAGGGAGTGGGGATGCAGGTGACCTTTCCCATGTGCAAGCTTACTAGAAGTCCTTAGCACTTATAGTGAGTAATCAGCACTAAATATAGTGTGTGTTGGAAAAAAATAAAAAATAAAAAAATTATATTTCATGTTTGTTGTTGAAATTCTATATACCCTTTCTTATATGCAGAGATGGCATCGAGACTATAGACATTTCAGGGAAACAACCATGTTTCTCATGGTAGGATTGGAGTTTTTCCAAAAAAAGAGGTAAGTGGTAGTATAGAACTCAAATGTGGTAGAGCAATTTGAAGGCAAAATGTAATATTGATAAGTAAAGCCATTTTTAAAATTAAGAATTGTTTAATGTGTTCATTTTATTTAACCAGTTATTCTGTCCATTAATGTCTTCAGTCTTGCATCTACTTCAAAGCTTCCCACAGCTTCCTATTCTTAATCTCCTTTTCTTCTTTCCATATCAAGCCATGTACTCTTTTAAAACCACACTCCACATGCACCTGTATTCCTCCTTCTCTCCTAATCTAAGTGCTCTGGGAATCCCTCAGGCATAAAAATCTTTCCTTTGTGGCACCACACATACACATAACATTTATCTGCTTTTGTCAGCAATCACAATAGTCAGGTCCCCGTCTTATCCATCTTTTCATTGGGTCTTCCCACAGAAGCAGTGTTGCCTTCTGCATTGTCTGAGACAAAATTCCACCTGTGATGGGCTTTAAAGGTCACAAGAAAATAACATTTGAGGAAAACTATCATGTGTAACTATCGGAGTTGTAGCTGATTCTTCTTAGCTCCGTGAAGCAATAGTGATTCATTCCCTTCTCTTTTCCAACCAAGTCAGGGATTGTGGCTATATAAAATTGGTGATATTTACGTATTACTACAGCTAAAACGTATACTCTGATCTACTACATGCAACAAGGATGGTGATTACAGTGTAAATGCCTCAGAGAGTCTTCAAAACAGAATTGTTCAAAACTGCCTCTTCCTCCCATACCCAGCCAGAGGAACAAAATTATTAGCTGCAAAATATCCAGTGGCTGACATCTGTTGTATGAAAATTGAGCTATTGCATGATACACATTTTTGACTGTGAAAACAATTCTGCAGTCAATCAAAGATCTTTCCTATATAATGCAGTAGGTAGGGGGATTATAGTGGGAATTGTACTTAATTCTGTGTGTTTATGTTGCGTAGTAAATTGCTTCGTATTTCTCTTTCTTGTCTTGTATGCTCCCAAACAAGAAAGGCCCCAAACAAAACAGGAAATTTTTTTGGAAAAAAAACTGCCTTCTCTTTGTGACAAGCTACATCTTTGTATAGGGTTATGAGCCCATAGTCTTGTTTTGTCTTCTGGTTGTGAGTGTGTAATAAATAGTACATTCTGAAAAAGAAACTCTAGTATTCCTTGATCCCTTAAGGAGGCAAAAATGTCACAGGCATCAGTGTGGTATATAGGAACCCTCCTTGTTACCTCTGTATTTCATGCATGCTCTAAACATGCAGACAGGAGTGGAACATCTTCAAGTTCCTTGGCACTGGGAGTCCAGGATGGCACCTTCAACTGCAAAATACCAGTTTTTCCACTAATCCACTTCTTACCATAATATATTCTGATTATGCCAGGAGGAGGGAGGGAAGCATAGGTTTCTGCTCTGTGCTGAACAGCAGTTTTGGTATAGTTTTCCATTATTTACATTAATTTTCAAAATTAATGTGAGGCATTTGTTACCAAATATCTTTGTAATTTAGAAAACAAGCCTATAATGACCAATCTTAGACTCTGATATTGGTCAGAAATAAAAAAATACAAGATTATCAGACTCCTCTAAGATCCAAACAAGTGTAGCATTCATTCCCTTTGGCAAGAAATGCAATTTCATAAATGTTTCAAGAGTTATTTAATATGAGGACAGTAAGACTAGGATTAAGCACATGCAGAGGATGAACGAGGCTCTGGGTATCCATTGACCTACTCTAAAGAAATCTGTTGCAATTACGCACCTGTGCTTCAGCTCCAGGAGATATTTATTGAGGATCTCATCTCTAGAGGGCAGTACTATCATCCATATTCTGCAAACTAGGCTAAATTGATGAGCTCTTCCAATTCCCTTATTAACACTGAAATAATAAAAATGTAACTTTTAAAATATTTATGAAAACTTAGCATTTCATAATGGAAATACTACCTTCATCAGCAAAACTGTTTTGAGCCTTTTCTTCAGAAACTCATTTCCCTCAGTCAACCAGCTTTTGTTAGTTTAATAAAACTATTTGGTACCTAAGAGCACTCAGTCTCTAGATGGAGCCAAAAATTGGCCTTTATCCAGGTAGTCTGATTTCCTTAAATAATTGTGCTGTGCTGAACAAACACAAAATGAACATTAAAGAAGTAGTTTGGTGTATCTTTTTCTCCTCTGTGTAGCTTACTTTGATAGGTCGTGGTGCTGGAGCATGTCACATGCAAGACTGCATTTGAAGGCGCACAGGAAACAACAGTTTCTTAGTACTACTGAAAATCACCTTATGCTGAGCACTGGGAAGTCCTGCCTACTTTCAGTGGTCACTCATGAACCCTTATGGTGATTGACAAGGCCCTCTTTTAATTGCAGGTGGAGAATTAAAGGGTCTTTCAGGCATATCTCCTCAGACTGTACTATAGAGTAGGAGCCCTCTATGGCTGAGATGAATGCAGCCAGCTAATGAACATTGGCAGGAGTTTTAGCTGCAGCTCGCTCTTGTGGTGCTAATTGAAAAGTGAACAAACCATAGACCTTAGCAGTCGCCTTTCAGGTTTCTTGTGAAGCAAATACAGTTTTTCAGTTTTAAATTGAAATGCCTTTTTCAAAGCAGTGCTAAAATTTAGCCAGCCTGTGCTTTCTGTATCTTTTCCAGGGCTTAGACCCAGTGAGCTCCCTAATTCTGTGAGCATCTTCAATGATTTTAGGCATAGGCTTCATAGGCTGGAGCTTATATGCACTTCACGTGTGAAGAGGCAGAATCTATTTTCTAATTGACACTGTAACTGCATTCCTCAGACTCTCAGGATATATAAGGACTCTGAGCTTGGACATACAGTAATGATGATTTAAAATAGCTTGCTTTGCTGTTAGATGGCACTAAGGTTGTTTCAGGGAAAGGTCACACAACTAGGGGAAGGAGCAGGGAGAGAGGGACTGGGAATAAGGCCACTACTAGCAGCAAATTTATGATTTTGATCAACTGAGTTATTGATACTGTAATTTCAACCTGCAGTTTCACAAATAGCTGAACTAAGAACAGAAAGAGAGAAGGTCCTACTCCGCTGGCTTTATATCCAGCAATTCCAGTTCCTTGCAATCACCTCCCCTTTCCTCCTACAAGTTTTCTGCTATAGGGTCAGTTTTGTTGGTGGTCAGTGATGTGAAGAGTTTTCATGGGTGGGAGAAATGGACTTGAGGAGTGGGTAATATGACTTCTTTTAAACAAAGCATGGCTTTGTATTTTGAGGACAAAAAGTTGGAAAACAGTACCTGTACTTGCAATGTAGTAATTACTTAAGCAATAAATATTTAGAATTGCAAGGGACTATGAGCAGATCTGATGGTGGAAGAAATGACTTCACAGTAGATTCTGAAATTATGGTGTTGGGTTTCATCTTGTTCTTCTAAACAAGGGTAGTAGAAGGCAAAGCTTTAAGGAACCATTGCTCTTTCAAGTAGCCTTTTCCCTTCTTTTTATGTTGTCTCATTGGGAGGCATTACTGTAAATCTTGAGTTTGTCTGCTTTGGAAAATTATGATGTGCATTTTTTCAGGTAAGCCTTGTGTGTGCTCACACATAATTTTTAGCCATTTTTAGTAGTTTGGTGGTTTGGTTTTGGTAGTTTAAACCTTAACCATGACCACGTGTTCTCAGTAGGAGTGTGGGCACAATGTACTGTTCCTCTGACCACTCTGTTAGGAAATTTCTCTTTCTAGATTTTTTTGTGTGAATAAAAATGAGATTTCGAACTGCTTGTTTTTAGGGTAGCTGCCTGAACTGCTTTCGGTGGCTGTGTCTCATAACTAGGTTTCTGTAAGTCAGAGAATTAACAATTTAAGAAGTTTGCTGGAAATGGTATGCAGCAGTGTGAGAGGAGATTATGTGCGTGAAGGGATCTCTGATTATTAAATGTTAGGTTCTTAGGTCCTCTGTTACTTGTCCTTTATCAGTTAGGCTTGTATTTATCTTCTACATTTAGATTAAAGACAGAAATATCAACAGTCTAATGGCACTTCTGCTTTTGAAATGCTGTTGTGGCTTTTCCCATTACTTTAGACTTCAGTTATTTGGAAGAATTTACAGTTAGTGAGGCTAAAAATTCAGTTTATTTTTTTAGGAATAAGGTAACAGCTTTAAACCTTATTTGCTAAGGTGTAGAATGCTATCAAGGTGTATATGGCAACAGAAGCTCAAGCCTAGAGTGACATAAATGCATGCAGGAAAAATTAAGCTTTCATTTCACTCAAGGCTAATCCAAAGCTATTTTTGAAGTGAGTGAAATTATATCCATTGGTTTCAGTGAGCTTTGGATCAGACTTCATATGCAAGTGATCTAACATGATAATAAAACAAATTGTTCTAATGTGCATAAAAGATGAAATTGTGTGGTAGAAGAAACATTATGAAGAGATTGGTGGGGTGGGGTAGATTTACAGTCAATCAAGTCAAGTGAGCTGTCCTTTGAAGAGCGCAGTAGTTAGCTTGAAACAGACGGTACCTGGATGTTGCATCTAATGTTTTTGTTTCTTTACTTTACTTCAGCTATATGGAAGCCTTGCTCTACCTTATCTATGCTTACCAGAATAACAAAGAACTCTTGTCCAAAGGCCCGTACAGAGGCCATGATGAAGAGCTGATATCTCACTACAGACGAGAATGTTTGCTAGTAAGTGAAGGGTGAAGTATGTTTCCAAAAGTTGAACTTGCTGCATACCTTTAAGAACATTAATTAGTAGAAAAGTGTTGCCATCATGTAAATCAAAACCAACCAAAAACCCCTTTCATTAACAGGTTAATACTTAGACTTGTGTAAGGAAAAAAGGCAAAAGTAAGAAGGATTGATTATTCCATTTTTTTGGAATAATCAATCATCTTTATGATTGTAAATTGTGTGCTCGTTGCCATTGTGTCCAAGCTAGGTAGGAACAACAGCTGACAGTGTTGGTGAGCAGAGTCACCCTGCTGCCACAGTTTGATGGGGAGACAAATAATGGAAAAGCCATCATCACGAAACAAGGTGGTTTTTTCCTTTGTTATGTTTCTTTTAGCAGTTGTGAGAAAAGCATGTGATAGGACCTCAGTCTTAAAAAGAACAGCTGTGAAGATTGAGTTGGCAGGTATCACATGAAGTGGCTTGAGGAATAGCACAAGATCAAATGGTTTTATAGAGTTATGCATCATTGCTGTAAATGTTAAAGTACAACTGTGGTTAATACAAATTACCAGGTAGCTTTGTAAGGAACACTGTGCTTTGAAACAAACAGAAACTGATGCATGGTAGGATGTGAAATGCTGTATACTTAAAGGCTTTCCTTTTTTATGGTGGTTTATGAAGAAACTAAATGAACATGCTGCAGCGCTGTTTGAATCAGGAGATGATCAGGAAGTAAATAATGGCCTGATCATTATGAATGAGCTTATTGTCCCATGTTTGCCATTACTACTGGTGGATGAAATGGAAGAAAAAGATATTGTTGCTGTGGAAGATATGAGAAACCGTTGGTGTTCCTATCTTGGACAAGAAATGGAACGTAAGTCATTTATTCATTAAGGTAAAAGGCCCTTGTGCACCTTTTTTGTAAATGTGATGTTTTCAGTATCTTGAATTGAGCTGTATATTTTGTTCCCTGCTAATGTATTTTGAGCTACCTGGACTTTTGAATAATCCTGTATACATTTAAATAAACCGTTTTTCCATGTATTACACTGGGTTATTAGGCCTTAAAGGAAATGTCCTTTTTGAATAGAAAAACATTCATGTTGTTAGACCATCTGAAGGGGCGTTTACATTATCATCTTACTAGGGATTGGTATGTCCTAATTACTGCTGGCAGTCCCGAAGAAAGTGGATTATTCCAAGTGAAACTTCTCCTCTTCCCACCCACCAATAAAAAAAAAAAAAGTCAGTGTTGGGCAGAAAAAGAATTCCACATGCAGACATAAATGCTTATGTTTGTTTTTCTTGTTTTATTTGCAGCTAACTTGCAAGAAAAGCTGACAGATTTCCTGCCAAAACTGCTAGATTGTTCTACAGAGATTAAAGGTTTCAACGACCCGCCAAAGTTACCCTCCTACTCCACACACGAACTGTGTGAAAGATACGCCCGAATTATGTTGTCACTCAGTCGAACTCCAGCTGATGGAAGATAAATTCTGCAACCTTCCTGAGCACATTGTATAAACTTTTTTAGTTCTTAAACCTTGCCTTCCTGTCACAGGGTTTGCTTGTTGCTGCTATAGTTTTTAACTTTTTTATTTTAATAACTGCAAAAGAGAAATGACTGTACAAACTTTAGCCAGACTGCAAACAATTAAAGCTGAGAATCGCATGGCACTCAGTCATTTCAGCCAGAATTGATGCAACATGCAAGTCTGATCATTATGGCAAAACTGCTTTTTTTGCCACTTATCTGTTTCAGTATTACTTTGCTTTTATCTTAAGATCCTTTACTTTATCAACAGCTGTCTGGATCATTTTGTGACTGCAACTACTTTAAGTGTCCAGTGCTGTGTAAATACATGGTACTTGATAGCTTGTAAATGAATTGAAAGAATAAAGTTTTATTTATGGCTACTTCTGTGTTTGCAAGCAGATACCTTGTATATTAATTAGTGTAAAATACGGGTATTTTTAGAAGAATTAACATATATTGATGGTTTAATCAATTTTATAGAGAAGGTTCTTCAGGATTTATGGCCAGTTTAATTACAGGTAGTCAGAGATTACTGTATGTGAATATATTGAAAAACTGTCACAGTATTATACGCTATGGTTTTTTGTATATTCTTTACTGATCTGTATGATACTGCACCTGAAAACTTTTGTGTGTGTGTGTGGCCATGCCAAGTCTTTTCTGATAGTAGGGACTGGCTTCTGAAGCAAAACAATAATGGCACTTTCCTTCTATTCTTAGGAAAAAGAAAAAAAAAAAAAGTTATTTTCAGTAGAAATATATTACATCCTCTGAGCAAAATTTCTAGAAATTTATTTAAGTACAGGAAATAAAGGTTTAAAAACCATGGAATTGATGAAGTTTAAGAAATAATCAATTTTTAAAAATTGGTATTTTAGTTATGTAAGTGACCAGAAATAAAACCTTACAATAATTCATTACTTGAAATGGGTTGCTGTTGTTGCAACAGAGTATCTCAGAAATCTTTTATCTGTCCTAATTAAATTTCTGTTGGAAGTGAACGAAAACATCTATAGGGCTTGTTTTATAGAACATGAAATTCTGTCTGGTTTTAATGAAGAAACTTAATTACTTTGTGGAAGAAGAAATTTAATGCGTCCTTAGGTTATCCTGCTAACGTGACACTATTTTGATTCTTACTTTATTTTATAGAGAACTTTTTGTGCTAGAACAGTAAAATATGTGAATATTTGTTTGTATGTTTTTATTGGAGCGGCTCTCAACTTTTAATTACAGGCTTTCAAGTGGTGTTTATTTGAATATCTGCTAATAAAAGGGAGGGGAGGAGTGGTTAAGTTCAGACCACCTAGAAATGTAGCAGAGACATAAATGTAGGCACCTCAAATGCCAGAAGAGGCAGAATTCAGTCCTAGTGTGTATCAGTCTTGAAATTTCTTTGCTCTTGAGAAATGCTGGATCACAATATACAGTGAATAGAGTGTGACCTTCAATTTAAAGTCTTTTTAGGGATGTTTTGTTTTTCAGTTTTCAATATTGGAATGCTTCATACTTTGTCAAACTATCTACTTATTTTATCAAAAATTTTTTAAAAAAGAATAGTGAACTCTTACAACTGCAGTACTACTAAGGAGCCTTTTTTTAGGTCTGAAATGATGTGGGAAAATACCACCTTTCAAGGAAAAAGATATGCATGCTATGAAAATGGTGAAGATGCATTTTAAAAGCTTTCACATTTTGCATCTGTTGCACTTTGATTTGAAACTCAAGAATATGCTTACTTAGCACTGTGTATTTTTAAACAAGGTTTTTAACAGATTAGACTTCTCATTTGCCATTTTCAATAATGGTAAAAACAACTAAAAGTGAAAGAGCAATTTTATTACTTTGCTAACAGGCTTTGAATTTGAATGTTTGTGAAAACTTTTAAGGAAAGCTCCTCTCTAACCCTGCAGAAGCCAGTTACCCTCATCATTTGTGTAATCTTCCATGACAAACACAGGGGAAAAGGCACTCTTTCTAAGGTAAAAGAGGAAGAAAGTATTTCACTTAGGAAGAATATTGGACATAGTTACATTCCAAGGAAGCAAGCAGGGCCAAGACTATTTGTTTCTTTTTGTTTCTTTTTTTTTTTTTTCCAGTTTCTTGAAGTACGAGAATAATCCATTGTAGTTTGTAGTACTGAAGATAAATATGTATTTCTTTGTGATGACTTGAATTTTTTAGTTGAACTGAGAAGGTCTGTCTAATAGAATAGAAACAGTTATGCATTTTACTATTTTAATATATTTTAAATATCTTGTTTGAATTTAAACCTTCATTTAAATCATTAAGGTACTATTTTGTCTTAAAAACCTTGATTTTTCACTGCAATAAGATAGCTGATAGCTTGGATTCACGATGCCTAGCACAAAACCTATACAAGTAACTGTGTAAGGTAGTAAATGGTACAGTTCATTTGGCTACCTAATAATCTGTGACTGAATTACCTAAGTAGATTTTTCTCTTCAGTATGGGAATAGTGAGATTTTTATCAACAGGATTTTTCAGTTTATAGAACATAAAAAGATTAAGGGAATTTAACCCAAATTCATCTACTAAATCACCTGCACCGTCAATTAAATGCAAGGGGTTTTGTTCTTTTTTTCCAGGTGTTGCTTCATACTGTGGAGGACCTTGAAGGCACTGCAGTCTTTCAGTTATGTGCCCTTTTTCTTCCCCCCACCTGTGTGTCTTTTTAGCTGACCTGTCAGCTGCACTTTAACTGATACTTTGGTAGTATCAAAAATCCTCTTGTTTCTAGTTAAAGCTGCCATAGCAGATCTGTTCCAGCCTAGCAGAAGACCATGAACAGCAGTAGAATTAATCTGAACAAGTTAAGAGGATTGATGGAGTCAATTTGTACCTCTTAGATGTGGTGAGACTAGACCTTCATTGCCGTGTCACTGTTGCTTTGTGTACAATTTGTACTTTAACTGCAGTGAATAACTGATGCAGTGAACAGGTTTGCTGTAGAAAACGTGAAGTATGAGCATAGTCAAAAGCATATGCTTCATGTTCAAGCATTAAAAAACCCCAAAATCTGATCATGTCTGTATTAAACATCTTTCACATTATTTTTAGGCTACTCCAGTATGTGTGTGAAGACTGCAGCTCCAGAAAGGTACAAACAGTAGCACGCAGGAAACAGTCTGATACTGTCCAACGAACGTAAAGGTCCATAAAGAGAGACAACGGTGGTTGATTTTGTTCTCCATTTTGTGCTATTTCCTTTTCTCAAAACCCAGTGAGTCCAAATGTCTGTGGGAAGCCTTCTATAACCACAGGTTTACAGGCTCCTGAGTACTTTTCTTGGAACTGCTCTGGTGTGTATGCCTGTGCAGGATCTGTGGGTCAAATAACACTGTCCATACGCATGCCATCTGGAAACCCAACATTTGAGAGCCTGAAATAGGAAGGATATGGATAGGTTTTTTTCTGTATAGTCTTTGGCACATTAAAAAAAAAAAAAAAGGTGAATAATTTGTTGGAGAATGACTTACTGAGCACTTCAGAAGCATGAGGGGTGTCTTGTGCACTGTATCCCAGCACTATCTCTCCAGGTTTATGAAGGCTATAGAGGCTGTTCCTGATGTTGAATAATCTTCACTTCAACATACCCTGATCCTTAGCTTTGAGTTATTAAAACTGCAGTCAAACATAAATTTTGGCAAAAAGCAGGTATGTCTTGCTGTGCTGGTTTAAGTTGGTATCTGTGCAGTCCCTACCCATAGCTGAGTTCTGTATCTAGGTATTTCCTGTCGCTCTTTGGGACTGTACCTTCTTCATTATCTGTGGTAAAGTTTTCTGAACCCATTTGTATTTCAGGAACATGCAGACAACAGGGAGAGAGCAATAATTCCTGTAGATTTCCTTCAAGAAACAAAACTTAATCTGTAACAGTGAAACTTAAGTTGAACTGTGGGCTAAGGACTTGGAAAACCTGTGGGAGCTTGTGGAGGGATTGGGGTTTTTTTATTATAGCTAATACAGAATCATAAGGTGGAGTGAATTACTGCATAAACATAGTAAACTTTTATGTGGATTTTTCAAGTAAGAAGTTTTAAGCAAAAGAAGTCAGTGTTAATGCAATTGGAAAAGCCTCATGCTTTCTTAGAGAACAGGTTGGAGAGTTAGGCTTTTCAGAGAAACCTTGATCTATGGAACTGAAATCTTGTAGCTTTTAATAGATCGAGGTAATACATTCTTGTAATCTGCTTATGAAGCTCTTTTTTGTTTAGAAAGATTCTTTAAGTTTTGCATCTCATGAAGCATATTTTTTAAAAACCAAAACAAATCAAAAAAGGACCAACCAAATTACCCCTCCCCACAAAATCAAACAACAAACCTGCTGTTCCTTGAGGGAGATAATATTGTTCTGAGAAGTCCAAGTTGAGTTTGGATGGTCAAAAGGCTGATTATCCTTTACCTTCCATGCTCACAGTTTATTTTGAATGAGTAAATTCTGTTTTGGAATACATACAATTTCCTTTTGAATTTCTGAAGGAAAATTTGTTACCTGTACAATGTTTGTTCAGTGCCTTTGAACATGAGATTAAGACCTGTCATTGTATTTGTCACAGACACTTTTCCCACTCTCAGCTGATGGTGATTTTACTTATGTGGTTGTTGCAAGGTTCTTGAACAGATGATTTCTCACTTCAGTATCCATCTGTAGGATGGAGTCCTCGGTGTACTTCGCATGTGAAGTTTTATTCTGCTATCTTTTAAGAACTGACTCTCCTTTTTCTTGGTCCTGTTTAATCCTGTTATTCAAATGCCTTGCACTGGGCAAGTAAAATGGTACTGATCTTGTTTGCCATGGTTCTTGTCTTTTCTACTGAAGATAGTGACATCTCTGTGTTATCTGGGCTTTTTGAGAGATATTGTGTAGTGCTTCGTGCTCTGTGAAATTAACTGAAATGGAAAGTGATGGAGTAAATTACCTGCGGTTGTAGTTGACAGAAAAGACCTATAATGCTGTTTTCTAATTAGCAACAAAATTAAATAATTTATCACTTGACACAGTGCCCCACAAGATTAGGAAAGCTGAGTATTTTTTCTAAGAAAATGGAAGCCACTAGGTAAAATCTGGCAACTGTTAAAACTGGCCATAATCCCTTAGGGAGGGCACTAGCATGGGTAGTGTGTTTGTTCTCCTCTCTTTGTTCCTGGAGTAGACATACAGCTAAAAATATCGATTCAAAAGTATTTATGCTGGATTTTTACCTGCTCTGTAGTAATTTTATGGATATTTTGCTTTATATATATTTGCTTTAAAGAGGATTGTTTTGTCAATGCATCATATCTGTTGGTGATAAACAAGAAAGTATGATGCGGTCAGATGGCTATTTTCTGTAAATTGAGTGAATTTGTGAAACTT